ACGCGCGTTGTGCCACAATCTGGCCTCTGCACCTGGCCTGACGCATCTCCCGTGTGGCTCGTGGTAGAGGCACAGCGACTTATACGCAGGTGGTATTGCGGACCCATTTGGAGTGCTGTTCATCTGTACGCAGCGTGTCGCTCAACCCAATTGGACAGCGCGTCCGCCACCCCAGCCCGACTAAGCGACACTGGTCGTTCTCCAGCGTTCGAGTTTGCATCCAGACCACGCGCAACACGGTCTGCCTCCCGAGGTGATTTTCGGTTCTTAAACGTCTCGCGTTAGTTTGGGGCGTGCACATGTCAAGTTTGAATCATCAGGTCTGGAGACCAATGGGTCAATACTTGCACATTTAGTTACGAGTTGGATAAATTCACTTTTAAGTGGAATCAGAGAAGTGGAGCTTCCATGTATGCTAGCGGCATGGAAACCGAAGCATCCACGGACTTAAACATCTCTTTACGTAAGTCATGGTTTGTGGTATCGTCGTTGGAACCTTTTGGAATCTTATATGACATTCCCAACCGAAATCAGGAAGCATGCTTACAGATGGTAGAGCGCACTCAAATGCAGTTACTTAATGGACAAGAAAAGAACATAATTTCAAATCCCCTTGTGAGTAGAAAGGTGCCGTAAATCTCCGCAACCACCGAGTGTGTGATGGGTGAAGAAGAAAACACGGTCGTCGCGATGGTCAGCAGTTAGCACGCCACTTGGCCATACGTGACTTTCCCGCAGTGGCAATCCGCGATGGGTTAGTCCACGCTTGCACACATAGCTCGACCAATGGGAACACGCCAATCACCCCGTGGCAGCTAGGTACGGGGCCTCTAGCAAAAGGGTTGGGTAGCTGAGGCCTGCACAGCAACCTTCACAGAAGAGGTGCTGGTTCTGCTATCTCCCGTCCGTCTTTTGCTTCAAATTATATCTAATGACGTGTTACTGGGTGACATGGCAACTATTTTCAATGGTAATCGGTATGTCAATGCCATGTGTGAATTACTTTCCTTTTATTTAAAAATATCCATGAGCTTTCCGTGAGATTTCTTGCCCATTGTACGCTTAATGTTCACTTCCTAGAGATGAGTGCCTCTTGTAACACATTTTATAGCGTGTTTTTCGTTTTGCATGCCTCTTGCATATTTGTATGATTCCGCTTTAGGACGAAAGCCAAATCTGCCCTATTCCTGCAAAGCAAGAAGACGCCCATGCCTGGATATGGGAGCGCTGGACAATGCCAGCGTGGCCTTCTCAGACCAGACGGACCTCACTTTTCTTGGCCACGCGGGCAAGATTCGCAGGGCAACCAGTTTCCGCGACATCATGGTACCAGTGCCGGTATTACCACCTGTACCAGTTGGTCTTATCAAGGAGAGACAGCGGACCGGCTCGCCGCCAGCGCGTTTCCATGTGCCGGACGACGAGTTCGAGGAGATCGAGGACAATCTGCGTTTCCTGCAACACCTCTTCTTCGAGGACAACCACTTCGAGTACACAAAGAAGCATCTGGCAGTTATGCGATCGCACTACAGATAGAACTGTCGGAGTTCCGCCTGGTCTGCACAGTGGCGGGTTAAGCGAGCCAAAAGAAGCCTTCTTAGTGGACCCTACCTACATCCCACCTCATCTTCACACCAATTTATTAGGGAAGGCGTGCATGGAAATAACGTGTATTTAATAAAGCGAGAATGGCCAAGTCGGCTGTCTTGTGAATACTGTCTGGAAAATGCTGGAAATAGTTCATGAGGTCTCTTGGGAATTTCGAATACGAGCGGGTCCCCAACAGCGGCTCGGATTGTTTGTTCGAGGTTGTCTGCTCTAGCGCTTTGGCTTAAAAGCCTAACTACAAGGCAGCGGTGGCAAGTAAACTCATTTAATAGCGGTTTAGGGTCGCCATGTCACAATACTGTCATTGGGATTTGCGGATTTTTATAAGCCTTTCAGCATGCCAGACCCCAGCCCACCGTAGCCTGGTAGCAATGTCGCTGCTGGTCCGCGAATACTTATTCGTCAGACCTGGCTCTGCTTACTTCGCAGTTAACCTTCACTGAAGGTCGTACCATTATCCGCCACCTGTGGACGCGCTGGGTAGCCAGCAGATAGACTAACGGACAACCCGTCTTCCCGGGCAAACCATCTTTCCGAGCGTAAACTGGAGGTATTTGACCACCACTGTTTGAGGACCATCCTTTGAGTGAAGTTCGCCGACTTTGTCTCAAATGAGACAGTCCGCGCTCGCTGCGACAACATCGGAAGTATAACTCAGGCCATCCAAGAAAGACGACTAAAGTGGTTCGGGCATGTTCTTCGTCGGCCACCTCAGGAGCTCAGTGTCACTGCCCTCGATCCGGCCCCGTTGCCCCATTGGAGGCGTCGAAAAGGGAGTCAGTTCAAAACCTGGCTCGACACAGTTCGTCAAGACATGGAGATGGTTCTTGTACCTTCGGTATTCGGTCTACGTCGTTGGCGAAGGGAATGAATTCGGCTGTCCAGCTTTGCTGCCGCGAATCGTCACGCGTGGAGAGGTACAGTCCGTGACATCACCGAGGCTGGCTAGATCAGGCATGATCGCTGCCGTATCAGGTACAAGTAAGTACTGCCTAGAAAAATTGGGAAGCAACGTAACACACTGGATAAGGCTCTAAAGTGATGCGGATATCTCATCTGGGAGAGCGAATAATAAACCCTATTCACGTGGCCGCAGGTCAACTAAGGGGCGGCAACCCAGACTAGAAAAGCCGTTCTCTAACCAGACAACAAAACCTGGCGGAGACACCATGGGTATATTGGCCTGGTCCCTTTTCTAATTGAGGTCCATTTGGGCGATAAACTGATTTACTACTTGACATTCGAACATCAGAAGTCGGTGGCTCGAAGACTGACTGTGTGAGTGTATCAACTTGATTTTCAGATGCAAAGTATTTTATCTGTCGCACTCGACAGTCGTTACCACTACCTGAGGAGAGAGACGACCGAACAAATGACTAGGAGCAGTGAAAAGTCAGGCATCTTACGTAGCCATACCCATGTCAGTTTCTCAGTCCATTTGAACAGGCCTTTACACAGGCAACTATTCTTACTCATTAAATCCCCAAATGAAGTCGCAATAAGAAGAGGGAGCTATCGCATCTGATCCTCCCGACCAAAGAAGAAGTTGTGTATCACGTCAGTTAGCAAGGCTTAAAACCGACATTTAAGGTGCCGCTATGGGTCACCCGAGAGTGTCCGATGGATTGTGAGGGGTCAAGCAGGATCCGTCTCACAGTCCCCGTTGTCATCATGCTTAAATGACTGGAGGTGCGTTTGGTCGCGACGCCTTCAGACAGGACAGACGCGTTCTCCCTGCTTGCTGGTTTTGACCAACACATGGACAAACCACCTCATTAGGAGAAACCGTCTGACACTGTTCTGATGATGATCTCTCTTGGTCAGGCACCTTCAAGGCAGTGGAGTTAAGGCGCTGGCTGCGATAAAGGCATTGCTTCTGTGTGCCCGTGCGCACTTGACCAACACAGGCGCCAGATCGTAGTCCGACAGGTGTTATTGGGGATGCGAACCAATAACAAATGCCAACATTGGGGGGGGGGTGTTTTGGCACGCCCGGTCGCAGGCTCACGCCGCGTCAAACGGGATTCGAGATGCCATCTTTCGCTCCTGTTGTATAAAATCCTGGTCAGTGTACGTTGTGGGCTAGGAGGTGTGATGATACGTCTGGTTGCGAGTATTCGCCGTGACAGCCGTCTGCGCCCTCTCTCTCTCTACCAAGTAGAGAGTGTGATAGATGCGGCGCAAGTCTGCTATCACCTTGACAGTAACTCGCTCGCGAGTCACCGTCCTTGCTCCTAACCATGTTGTGGAGCACACGGTGGACATCATCGTTCGCGAAGGTAGAAATGTCTTGTGTGAGTGTGTGCCAATCAGTAAACATGATTTTGGGTCGAGGCTGAAAACCTAGACTAGAATGGCCTAGTTCAAAAAGCGTGTCTTGGAAATCGCCGCTTCTGCTAGGAGCTCGCACGTGTCTATCCGGAGCAAGGGACTCCCTACTGAGGTCTCACTTCCAGTCCACAGCAGACTGTGATGTCCACCAAGATAGGTTGGTATCCTTATTCCTTTAAAGTACAGGCCATGTGTTAGAGAAGTTCTCATTTTGTCAGGCAGACGAATGTCGATCTCAGGTGGTCGATTGGTTCACGTTGCTGCTGAAAGTGTCCAAAATCACAGGTCTCTGGCTTGCTGGCCGTATATGCTTGACTACCGGCAGCACACAAGTCAGAAGCAGCCTCTTCTGAAGTTTCTGTTAGACCGGATTTCGGCTTGAATTTCTGGGATGTACTCAGCCCGCCCAGTTGGAAAACTTGTCCGTATTATTTGGAAAGAGCGAGAAAGGTAGAAAGCCAGGTGTTTGCCTACGTTTACTTGGAAAACGTCTTCTCGATTCTTTGTAGGATAAGCGCAAGTAGTAGGATATTCGGAAAATGGTCCCGCAAAGGTATCTCTTCGAAAAGCTCTTGTCAGACCTGTGCGGTCGCCTACTTGCCATATGCGCGTTCGACTGGCCAAATAGCTAACTTGACGGTCGTTTGAAGGCTGTGTCTGGAGTTGGAGGTGGCCTAAGAGAATCGGGCATTCAGTGCAACTTCTGCTCAAGTGAGCATGAAGTGAAAAAAGGCAAGCAACTTGCTGATGGCGCGGAAAGTGCATCTTCTGTCATGGAAGCACAGCGCTCGCGAGATTCACGGAAGGTTGGTCAGAACCCTCAACCCTCAGCCTGGATGTTTTGACCGAAGTCAACTGGTGCGGTAAGTGTTCTTTATGAGGAAAAAAAACAAGCTGGGATTTCGGCTGCGGAAAATAATTTAAAAGGCGTATTAATTTAAAATGCGCAGTTTGCATCCCTGGAAAGACTGCTCGGCACCGAATAGTTTCCAAGCACATAGGACGCTCTCACAAGGCAAAACTCACGACTGAAGTGGTGTACATTTTCCAATGTGATTCGATATTCGATAATTTGCTTTAAAAGGGACTAAGCAAGCGTGTTCTCTTTTGAACCCCCTCTGATATCTGTACCAGAAAATAAGAAGTCTCCCCTATGTCTCTTCTTTAATAGGCTCTGCAACGTTTAATCTACAGTGAGTGACCGGTCTCATGAAATGTTAGCCGAAATTCTGAAATGAGTTTCTGATTAGGAAGGATTACTTAGGTGGGGTTCTAATACTGACCTTCTCGCGACATACTTCTGTGATATTTCGGACTCGGCAGGATGTTGGCTTTTGAATACGCTTCTTTTCAATCTCCTTTAGAAACCGTACTCGGTAAAAAAGACTACTTAAGTAGCATGCATTTCGCATTGATTTTCGATGGTCTTATAAATGCAAACGTGTTTTGTATAAAACCTGAACCAAAATGTGCCTTTTTCACTTGTTTTAATAGGGAATCACGTCATCTTCATATTTTTTGCTCGAAAAAGGCGCATAGCTAGGTTTAAAAAAGTTTCTTATTCTCGAATAATTTGAAATCTGATTAGACGTTGCATTAGCGCTTAGCGACTTCATTCTACAAGGCGCATGCGTTTCGTGTAAGGAGAATCATATATTCCTCTATGCCTTTTAAAAGATACCATAAAGAGTATAAAATTTCTTACAATGAATGCGGATTATGTTGTGCATTTAATGAGAAGCAGTGGTAAATGGACAGGTGCGATGTTGTAATCATGGACATTGCACGGCCTTAACAAGTCTCGTAATTAGAAACTTTTTAAAAATACAACCATATGCCTTTTTCGAACATGACATTTGAAGGTAACGTGATTCCTTATGAAACGATGGAAAAAAGGCATATTTTTGTTCATGTTTTAAATAAAACAAGTTTGAATTTATAAGACCATCGAAGATCAATGCGAAATGCAGACTAATTAAGTAGTCTTTTTTTACCGAGTACGGTTTCTAAAGGAGATTGAAAAGAAGTGTATTCAAAAGCCAACATCCTGCCGAGTCCGAAATATTATAGAAGTATATCGCAAGAAGGTCAGTATTAAAACCCCACCTAGGTAATCCTTCCCAATCAGAAACTCATTTCAGAATTTCGGCTAACATTTCATGAGATCGATCACTCACTGTATACAGCGGTTTGGTATATAGACTGCATAGAAACAGCTCTTATTCCAGCTTTCGTGCCTACTTCTTCATAATTCCTATTGTACTGTTAAGGCGCGACCGTCTAAAAGTAGTACAACGGCTCACCGTCCACTAATTTACTGGCATGCTTTGGGGGTGGAACGATCAATGAAAAACCCCCTGCAGGCCTGCGCACGCACTTCAAACATTCTCGAAGAAACGAACCCTTTAAAATGAAAATGTTGCTTAGACTCGAGCAAGACCTATTGTCAGGACACAGTTTCGCACAAAAGCATAAGGCGCACTAGACCTCAAACGGACCTTATATAGAAAAAGCAAATTAGTTGATATGATCATCGAACGGAAATAAGCAGCCTTTCATAGTGCGGCCAGTGCACAGTTTTAAAAATTTTAACCGGA